TGTAAAAGCAACTGGCTTTTTTTTTTTTAATTTTGCCCATGCCCTGTTGTCCTGGAGATGATATGAGCATGATCCAGATGTTCACAGAGTGGATAGTTCAATAGATTAGCTAAATATACTAGCACTTATGTTGCTATCAGTTCTTTTTTAACCCTTTTCATCCCCAAAGAACTCCAGTTACACTCACCAAGAATGTTGATCTACACCTTTGCATTTTCTCTGTTTTGATACACAGACTTCCATCCTGACTCAATTCAATGAAACACAGTTTTCTTTGTAAATGGTACTTCTGAATTTCAATTTTCAAATATTTCCCATACTTAAAACAGCATCCAAACTTAAAACTTTTTATATTAGTGTTATGATTTCTAGCTCATAAAAGTAAGCTGTCAAGAATAGTAAAAATTTTACATGACTTCCAACAATCACTGGCTTAATGTAGCTACTCTAAGGCAGGATATTTAAAGGTCAGGCAGTCAGCTTATGAAGCTCATTCTGACACTATTATTTTACTCATTTTCTTATTCCCTAATTTGTTTCTGTCTTTCTTGGTGACCAAAGTTGTATGTAATATGTAGAGATAAGTCACATAATGATATGCCTCTGTGTTACTCAGTGTCCTTACAAAGAAAGACACAGATGGTGGCAGGGGCCCATTTCAAATGAAGTTTGACTTTCTTCTGGAATTCAATATATTTGCAGTGTGTCTTAATATGGTTCCCTTTTAAGGAAATAACATTGTACCATGATAACAATGTAAACAAATGTAGGGAAATAAAATAATTATACTGTATGAAGGAGGCATAAACATCCAAGGAAGGAAATTGAATTCCTCCATATGGAATAGTTGCTGTGGCTATTGAATAGGGCTAACAAAATCAGATTTCTTCATACTGAGATACTTCATAACAAGAGTTGGCAGAAACTGTATAAAGCCAGAGTGGGAAGGGAAATGCAATCACTTGATTGGTTCTGTAGAACTCAGACAAACTTGTTTCTAGGCAGATGTTCTAGAACTTAAATGAGAGACAATTGAAAGACAGAATTTACACTTATATTTGCTATGTGAGGTCTCAAATAAAAATGTTAGTTCATGTAGCTGGCTGTTATAAACAATCTTGAATAAGGCTGAAACTCCTAAGACCATGGAATCCAATAATTCATCTTTTGGTAAGCCATTCAACAGTTATATTCTATGGAAAGGCACAGCTGTATTTATGCATATTTGAGCACACATGCATACACACACACATATATGGCAAGGAATCATGTTCTATATGCAGATATATAGAACATTAAAAGGACAAATGTAGTTTTTGAATAATAATAATTTTATTTGGATAATGCTGCTAAATTATTTTTAATTTGATGTTGTTAGTCATAATTTGAAACAAAGTAAATAGGGCTACATGTTAGAATGAGAAAGTCAGATAGTAGTTAGGGTAAAGAGATTAATAACTATGATTAGAATATAGAGAAGAAAGGAGAACTTACCAAATATGATATATGACCATTTACTTAGAAATGTCTGTACTATGCTGTCACTTTATACAAAATTATCAAAATATTATATTCTCTCAGCTATTCTTGTTTCTGGAGTCATTTTAAGAAATAATATAGCAGATGAAAAGACAGTCTGACTGAAGCATTTTCATTGTTAACTTTCTTATTACTTGGTTATGAGAGATTAATATTATTTAAGCTCATTCGTGGACATCCTCAATTAATAAATGGTTCTTCAATCATGAATAAATTTTAAACTTCATAATAATTATTAAATATGTTGTTTAAAAAAGCAGAATAACACTTCAAGGTTTCACTCCAAAGCTAGAAGTGTTGCCTTGAGTGCTTTCTCCTAGGGATTTTGTCCTCCTCGCCTGCCTGATCCCCATGAGCTCCATGCATCCTGTGAAGTGATTCTCCCATTAAGTGTTGATTACCGACTAAGTAATCAAGACCTTTCTTTTACTCTAATGTGAGGTCAGTTTTCAACCTGAAATAGCTTCCTGCCACCTCTCTTCAAAGGGAAATCAAAGACTCATAATATTTGATTATCTATTAACTGAGTAGTAAATGAAAGTTTATTGGTTATATAATTCAAATTACAGTTATTGAAATCTAGTTACCCAGTCCACACACAAATACTGATGATTTTCATCTTAGGTACTTTATTAGTCACTGTTCTGTTTCTGACCACACTCCCAGTACCAACTTTTGTCTTAGTCATTTTTTCTATTGCTGTGAAGAGACACCATGACCAAAGCATTTAATTGAGTGATAGATTACAATTTCCGATGTTCGGTTCACTATCAGCATTGTGGCAAGCATGGCACTGGAGCAGTAGCTGAGAGCTACAGAAGGGGGGGACTAGCAGGAGGGAGGGAGAGACAGAGAGAGAGAGAGAGTGAGAGAGAGAGAACAAGAGAGAGAGAACAAGAGAACCCACCCCAGTGAATACTTCCTCTAACAAGGCCAGACCTCCTAATCCTTCTAACCATATCAAAGAGTTTCATGCCTTGGTGACTAAGCACTCAAATATATGAGCCTATAGGGGCGATTATTATTTGATCCACTATAAGTACCTTTGGCAATTAAATTCATTCAGAAAGCCAGAAAATTACAAAACAATGTAGACAACTCTCAGATCATTACTGATATATGAATGTTTGAAATGAATATCCATTCCTGATTTTTCTAGATTGAGTTGAGAATTTTGGTCAAAGTTGATTGAATTTGTGGCACTCCTAGCTGGGCAACAGTGATGACAGATACAATGACAGGAAATTGAAGCATCAGAAAACAGTTGGGTCCTTTGAAGATTTGAAGGGTAATTTCCAGTTAGAAATGAAGATTGTTATTGTTTTTAATATATGAGTTAGATACTCAAATGTGCTAATACTATAGAGGTCATGATCTTAAACTGATGGTAAATATGGTTTAAGATAAATTATAAAGGTGAAAAATTATATGTTTTGCAGGTTGTTCATAAGATTAGCATGTACAGTGAGGATATTGGTAAGATATTTGGCCACCCAATTACTTTTGGGAACTGTTTAGGATGTTGGTATAAGACTAAGGAAGAAAAGTCAGTAATAGTTTTACAAATTTGCAACCAGAATTGGATTTGCAAAGAAAAACTCATAGCTTAACACCTTGTTATATGTATTGCATATTGAAACACTGAGAATAAAACCATTCTCCTATTTTTGCTGTAAACTTTCTGTACCATCAGGTAGGACAAAGTTTTCAAAACGCATGTATATAGAGAAGGGATCTTACTGTTTTTCATGAAAAAAATATTACATATGTAACAGCAAAGTAGTTATTTAAAGGGAACAAGCCAAACTACATAGGATAATGATAAAAGAAAAACCGAAGAGAAATGGGTTCTAAGCCTTGACATAGGTATGTATCGAATATTGGCAACATTTATTTTATATTTACTATGGCAATATGTTTTTTCCTTCGGTGTAATTGAATACTTTCATAGCTGATTTTCACTGTAACTAACCTAGGAATCTTTAACTTCAATACTTAATAAATTCATTTCTTTAGCAATCTGATGAGGTATGTGGATACATTCTGTATGTTAAAAAAGACAAAAAAGCATAGGAATTATACATAAGACAGTACAATTCTACAGACCAATAAAGCATATTTTTGTCTTAAATGCTAGACCTAAATATATGCTCTACTCATCTAAGTTGTTTGAGTCTGTAACATGTACATATTTTCGAAGTAACACATCCTTGTGTATTTATATAGTATAGTTTAATTTGTTTTGTTTAAGAATGAAGGGACAAGTTAAAGTTGGCAGTAACTCTGTGTTAGTAGCATAGTTCTCAATTTCACATTTGTATTTAGTGTGTGTGTGTGTGTGTGTGTGTGCATGCTCATGTCTCTGCTTGGCTAGCTTTATTTATGAGATAATTATCTCTGAATGCTGTTTGCACATATCAGCCTATACTTCTAAAAGTCACAGGGATATTCATATAAACATTGTTGCACCAAACAGCAGCACTATTTTTGCCAAAACTTCCACTTTCTTCAGGTTCATTGACTGTCTTTTAATTTCTTCACATATTTTTTATCTTATGTATTCTCCCATCTCCAACTGTTCCATTACTAGCTAGAGTTCCATTCCACTGAATATGTTTAGAGGCTTAAAGAAAAACAATAGAACTAGATATAGAAACCTTTGAATAACATGTCTATTAACCTGAAATATTTCAATTTGCAAGTGTACTATTTTTCTGTTCCTATGTCTGTGTATCATTGAACTTATCCACTACCATCACAATGAATTATTAATGATACTTTCATACTTTAATGCTTCATAAGATTTGAAAGAGTTTACAGAAGTAGAAATACTGAATAGAATTTCATATAAAATGTGTGCAATTAAGTAATATATGTGATAAAATAAAATAATGTGTATGAAAACTTTTACATACTTCTCCTGAATAATATGATGAAGAGTCATTTGAAATACAAAGGAGAATTATTGAGTTTTCCTAAGTCGTTATATGCAAATCATGATTCTCTATCAAAACAAGGTACTTGTGTTTTTATTGATATGATTTGATTTATTTGTAGTGGAGACTATATACATGCACACACACAAGCACATAAACAATATTATGACTCGCTGTGGCCACGATAATTTCCAATTCATGGTTAGTTGCTGAGCTTTAGCTCACTGGACTCCAATTCTGACTAACCAATATTTATGAGCAGTACACTATAATGAGTCATTCCATGAGCTAAACACTAATCCATTTAATTCATTTTCTGTTCTTTCTGCCCCACCTGATCTGCCAATTCCCAAATACTTTTCTGCCACCCTTTTGTTTTTGCCCTCAGTTCTCCCCATGATGGATTGACTCCTTCAGAAGCCTGACCATTCAACACGACCACCACCTCCAACACACTCAAAAGAGAAAAGGCATATAAGCAGGTACTCTGTCTTTATATCTTTCGCTTTCACTCTGTATTTCATAATGACAGTGCTGGAGATCCTGGTGCATGTGAAGAACACTCTCTTGCCACTGTGGCTGGAATTAACCCTGTTAATGTCTATGGGGCCACAGACAGGTTTATCCCAATATCCCAGCCCCCCTGAAGTAGTGATACCTTTGAGAGTCACTGGCACATACAGAGGTATGGAAGCTCCAGGCTGGATATCCTATAGCCTGCACTTTGGGGGCCAGAGACACATTGTCCACATGAAGGCCAAGAAGCGTTTGGTGTCCAGAGCTCTCACTGTGTTCACTTACAATGACCAGGGTGCTCTTCTTGAGGATCAGCCCTTTGTTCAAAATGATTGCTACTACAATGGTTATGTGGAAGGAGACACTAAATCCATGGTTACTCTTAGTACTTGTCTAGGAAGCTTTCAGGGAATGCTGCAGACAAATGGAACCACCTATGAAATCAAGCCCAAAGGGTTTTCTGCCACCTTTGAACATCTGGTGTATAAGATGGAGAACACCCAGCATACACCCGTAAGTTGTGGACTAACTAAGGACGAAATAGCAGAGCAACTGAAGTTTCAAGAGAATGCTGATTCTACTCTGATGCGAAGTTCTTATACAGGATGGTGGCTCCACCAATGGTTTCTTGAACTAGCAATTGTGGTAGATCACGGAAGATTCATTTTTAGGAATAGTAATGCATCAATTGTGGAGATGGATGTATTCATGGGTGTCAATTTAGTAGATGATATTTATAACTCAATTAATCTTGATGTGGTTCTAATTGCAATTGAAATTTGGAGTACAGGAAATCCATATACAGTGACTACCACAGGTCATATGATGGAACAGTTTTGTAAATGGAAGAAATTCAGCTTCAATAAACGTGTGGCTCACGATTCTGCACATATTATTGTGAAACAGGATTTTTGTATCAATGACCTTACTACATCATATTTTTCAAAAGTATGTAATATTAATTTGAATTGTGGTTTAGAGTGCATTATGGATGATGGATTGGCTTCGTTTAGGACATATGTGACACATGAAATTGGTCACATATTGGGGATGATGAATGATGAAGGTAACTATTGTTCATGTGGGAGAAACATATGTGTAATGAACAAAAAGCTACTACCCTCAGATACATTCAGCAACTGTAGTTATGAACAATTTTTACAGACTATTTCTAGAAAGAATTGTTTGCGCAATCTCCCAAATCTAAAGGATATTACTACAAAGAAACGCTGTGGGAATGGTATTACTGAAGATGAAGAGGAATGTGACTGTGGTTCCTTAAAACAGTGTGCCAAAGATACATGTTGTTCAGAAAACTGCACTCTGGTATCAGGGGCAGCATGTGCTTCTGGGCTGTGTTGCCAAAATTGCCAGTTCATGCCATCAGGCACAGTGTGTAGGGAACAGGACAATCTATGTGATTTGCCAGAGTGGTGCAATGGAACCTCTGGAGCATGCCCAGAAGATGTGTATGTGGAGGAGGGGATCCAGTGTCTGGGCAGGAATATCTGTTTTCAAAAGAAATGTAATGACCGTGATGAGCAATGCAGAAAACTTTTTGGTGAAGAAGCCAAGAATGCAAATAAGAAATGTTACATAGCAATGAACACCAAAGGTGATCGCTTTGGACATTGTGGTATGAAAGATACTAAGTATGTAAGATGTCATCATAAAGATGCTCTGTGTGGGAGAGTCCAATGTGAGAATGTGACAGTAGTTCCCCATCTGCACAATCATTCTACTGTGCATTCAACTCATTTTGATGGTTATAACTGCTGGAGTACTGATTACCATTTTGGGATGAATGTGCCTGATATCGGTGAAGTGAAGGATGGTACAGAATGTGGCCCAGGCCTTTTGTGCTTAGAAAGGAAGTGTGTCTTTATGCCAGCATGGGAAGAATCTTGTATGCCTATGTTCTGCAATAAGAGAGGGATCTGTAACAATAAACATCACTGCCACTGCAATGAATATTGGGCCCCACCCAACTGCCTAAAAATGGGTTATGGAGGTAGTATTGACAGTGGCCCACCTCCCCAGAGAAGATCACAAAATGTGTTTTACATCGCATTTCTTGTTTGGATTTTGGTTTTTATTTTAAGTACCATCTTGTTACTTTGTCTTTTGTGTTTAGAGAATAAAAGATATGAGGAAAGAAGGAGATACATTGCAGCATTACCTAGGGGAAAAAAACATAGAGTTAAGAAGTCACACAAGAAGAAAGAGAAAATTATTGAAACAGAACTTAAGGGACAACAGCAAAATGTTGAGATTTTACCCGAGAAAGAAGAGGAAAAGAAAGACACTGAAATTCTAGAAAGAGCAGGAAGTTTAAATGTACTACAACAGAGTTGAATGTCATAGAAGGATTACCCCTCCAATAAACAACAGTAAAATATCTATACCTCATGTTAGAAACAATGGCAAAAATGCACAATTAAAAAAATACACTCAGTCTTAATAAAATTTCTCAGTTGTTTCTGCTGTTCTAGTAGCAGAACATGGCATATATCAAAGACTGTTTGATAAAAAATCCCAGAGATCTATTGTATTTCAAGACCATAAAGGTCTAACAATCAATAAAGGTGCTTTTGAGCATATTTTCACTAACTTAATTTTTTTAACTACTTAGATTTTTGTTGAATTAGTCTGTGTTCACGGATCAAAGTACAGTTAATTTGATGGTGTGTCTGAGTTTGTGTTAGTTTGCTGTCTATTAGAATCTCTTTTCCTCTCTCACATGGAAAAAAATCACACTTGCTTGTTTTCTAGTTCCTCCTACCACCTTTTCTGCCAATAGGAGTGCTACAGGGAGACTGGTAATCTAAAGGACTCATTGGAGAGAAATTTATGTCAATGTTGCCTTGGCAATAGCTGTAGTTTTAAGTTTGTACATTATCGCTACAATTTGTTAACAACTTTAGACAAATGAAATTCAGCCAATTTTCCCTGAACAAGAAAGGGTCCATGCATTCATCATCCATTAAATCTCAACAGAGACTCAAAGATCCACCAAGCAATGTTGGCAAACAGAAGAGGAGGCAACAGAGATAAAATAGAAGCAATGTATGAAAATAGATTGGGTTCAACGAGAAGGGTGCCTTACTTGATGTAATGGGATAAGTCATTTCTGTTCTCGAGGCAGGTTCTGAAGAGTTAGTAACTTTAGTTAGTTGAATATTGGCTATTGTAACTGGAATTACATCCCTCAAGCAAATGAATACAAAGTAAGGTTTGACTCTTTTGCTTTTCTTTTATTGGACACTATGACTCCATCTAAGTAGTACAAACTATTTCTGGCCAATTTACATTATGTCTATAGTATGGCAGTGGTCACAGCAATCATCACCTCTTGCCTTACATAACACATAATCTGTTTTTGCCGCTAATGTCTCATCTACAAAAGGGCAATAACCTTAGTTATTGTCCATAGGGATATATAATACTTAGTACATAGCAAATACTCACATGGCACTGGATACATATGAAATACTAAAATCTGTGGATAAATAACATACATTTGTTCATCCTGTTTTTATTTTGTGTGCATTAGTGCCAGCATGTATGTCTCTACACCATGTACATGCAGTGCCATCGAGGTCAGAAGAGGGTGCTAGATCCCCAAGACCTGAGTAACAGATGGTTGTCAGTACTGGAAGTTGAACTTGGAAGAACAGCCAGCACATTAACCATGGAGCCAACTCTTTGACATTCTGATAAAGACTTTTAAGACGTGTTAATTAAAATGAACTATCTAAAATTCTCATCTTTTATAAATTAGAACTTATAACATGTTTATATTGTTATTTTACAGTTCTTCATAGGCTATGTAAAGACAATAATTTAATGATTGACCCACACCAGATCATGGTCACCAAAATTTTCATTAAAATCATGATAATCAAATGCTATCATTAGCCCTAGAAACTTAGAAATGATCCATTAATGAAAAATAACAAAATGAAATAGCATTTTGATAGACATCAGTCCCCATTTAGAAAGTACACTATTATCATATTTAAAGCAAAGTAGATACTAAAATATATTTACCTAAAGCTTTTGATAGTCACTGTCTCCTGACATTACCATTTGCCAAAATAAAGTTTTACCAACCCACTGATTCATCCAAATACCTTTGCAGTTATGAACAACAAACTTGCTTCCTTGAATGACCTATTTCCTAGCTTGAGAATTTGAAGCAATGAATTTACTTAGAACCATGATACTCTGATTGGTTCTCATTCCTTTACTTCAATACTAGGTTGAAGCCCATATGTATGTCTGTGCATTACCTTTGTGCCTGGGACCTGCAGAGGATATAAGAGGGCATTGGATTTCCTGGAACTGGGGTTACAGTCATTTATAAGCAGATATGTGGTGCTGGGAATTGAACCTGGATCCTTTGCAAAAGCCCTAGGTTGTGTCTTTCCTTTTTTGGCTTTTCAAGACTGAGTTTCTCTGTCTAACAGCCCTGGCTATTCTGAAACTCACTTCATAGACCAGTCTGACCTAAAACCCAAGTGCTGGGATTAAAGGTGTGTGCTACCACCACCTGAATTTGCCGTATTTTTTTAAACTGAAGAAACATATTGACATGTCAACCAATAAATGTGCGTTATTCTTATTTTTAAAAATTCAAATTTAGGAAAACTAGATCCCTTTCAAATTATTAGACAAATTTCTTTTAATTAATCTACAGTTTTCCTAATATGATGATTATTATATTAAATCATTTTGGTATAAGTGGCCTTGTGAAAAAAACAATATAAAATACAATCTACCCCATTTATTGATGAAGTGCTTAATATTGAAATCAAAATTATTAAATAAAATATAAATACATGACTAATTTTGTTTAATAAATTTTATGATATTACCTATCAACTGAACATATCATAAATGACATTTTATTTTCTGTTATCTTCCAAATTTCAAAATCACGTTAAATAAAGCAAAATTACTTACCTTACATCTGATTTTTGTGCATGATTATTTATGTAATTATTATAATCTTAGTTAATTCATTTTTTTCTACAGATTTTTAGAAAAATCTGTATCAAACATAGTAGAGGGTATTGGGAATAGAGTCCAGAATAAGATAGTGGCCGTTCCAGGATTTCATTTTTCTCAAATGAAGGAGATACAATACTATTTCCCAATAAGTCACTTAATTATATTGTGGGAAAGTTTGTTTACAGTGTTATAATCTCAAATTTTAACTCATCCCCAAACTGTCTCCAAGGTAAAACTTGAACTGTCAGTAAAAGATCACACCCAGTACACATTTGTATACACATGTAACAATACTAATTAAAAAAAGATAGTCAAGTATGTAGAAGACTGCATACAAATGAGTTAAATGAAGAAAAGGAGAGGAACATTCGAGGTAGACAAGATATAAAGTCAGCTTGGGTGCAAAACAATGATGGATTTGAAGAATGAAAAAAATCTCTGCATGTCTGTGGTTCCAATAGTCTGTAGATAAGGAAAGTAATGCTTCTTTAGGGGCACAGTCAAGCAACCCTTCATGAGCAAAGTTATTGAAGGTTTTCCTCCTTTAGAGACAAAGGAAAGCTAATGGGGACTTACTCATCTGCTTAACAGACCCAAGATAGTCACACAGGTGCAGAGAGAAACTGGATAGGATGCTTTTACAGAAATTCAAGGTAGAGAAAATTGGTGTTTCTAAAAATGGATTAAAACTGTGAAGATGGACTGTAATAGATAATATTGGGAAAATTTAAAAAGAAACATTATATCTATCTGTGTTGAGACATTATCAAGAGTAAAACAGGTATAGTGAATGTATGCTTAAAGCCTTTCCTTCAATGAGATAGGAAAATGGGAACGGATTACAAGTCCATATTTTACTGACCAAGTTACTGTGGCTTTCAAGAGAATACGTTCAGTGGGAAGCTGGAGGCCTATATTGGCTACTTAACTGAGAAATCAATTTACTTTCTTTTTTGTTTTTTGTCACATAGGTTAACTGCATTTTCAGGGTTTCAGGCAATTAGATGCTGTTGCATAACTAGTGGATATCTGCCCCAGAATTTTCTCCCATGTACTTTGGGCAACAGCTAAGTAAGGAGGATAAATGCAGGACTCATAATCAAGTATGATCAGAGGTTTGCTGGGTGTCTGTAGCAGTACATCAGTGAAGACTTCACAAGGAGGAGTATGAGCTGGACAACAAATGTGTAGTGTTGAGTGGGAGTTTAGGAATGTACTTAGGGCCATGGTCTTCCAGAATCCTTAGCGACACTTGCATACTTACCAGTTTTGGACTGTCAGTGAAGCAAATTGGATAATAAAACTGAATTAGTAAATGTAAAATGGTAGGAATTACTATATGAAAAATGAAACCTCTAGGTAGATTAGCATTTTATTCACTGAGTGTGAAGGGAAACTCAGGTGAAGAGCCATATTGAGCAAGGAGAGAAGTTATGGCGTGCATAACTTGATGATGGATCTTGATGGAATGCAGTCTAGGGAGAGAGAAGGGCAAGTCCAAGGTGCCAGGGAAAGAATTTCTTGTGCACAGAAAGAATATCAAGAATATCAAGAAGGGGTGTAGATCTGAAGTAAATTTAGAAAGCATTGGAAGCTGATTGAGGAGAAATAGGAGACCTTTGTCTTTTACTTCTGTATACAGCAGTAAACATAAGGATAGGAACAGGTAATCACTTGACATTGAGACTTGATGTCATTTATGAATGTACTGGATCATATTCATCTTGGGACACATGTTGCCTGCAGACCACCGGTTGGGCACACCTGTTTCAGAGGGTGTATGGAAGAAGTAACATGATTTTATTTACTATATGGGGGTATAGTTTTGCCTATGGAGTAGAGAAGAGATAGATGGTGAGAACAGACAGGGTATGATCTGAGTTACTCTATGTTTTATTGAATAACTTCCCTTCTCTAGAAAATCTCCTTGAAATTCCCTCACTCTGCAACATCCCTTAAGTGTCTTACATGATCAATAATTTTCTATTATATTTCTCACCTTAAACTTGTATTTTAACTTTTAAGTGATTTGGAAAAAGCAACTGTGTCTATATTGAACATGCACACACATTTTTTCTTACCAGCCTTCCCTAAACAACAGTTTGGCAACTATTTAAACAGAATTTATAGTGGATTGTGACATGTAATGTTGGTATGCATAGGTTATATGCAGCCATTGTACAATGTTACATGAGAATTTAGTACAACTGAATTTTGATATTTATAGGCTCCTAATATTTGTAGAGACTAACATTGCTGTTATTGCTTTCTTCACTGCAAAGCCCAGAGTTAAGTAGCTATAACACATAAAATTTAAAACATCTGATATGTGGTCACTTATA